GTGACTCTGGGTGGTTCACAATAAAACAGCAATAAATATTAATTAAAATACAATAAAAATATAAAATAGAATAAAAATAGAATAAAAACTAAACCCACAAATAAATAGTAAATTAACTTACTAATACTTTCTTTCAGAAGTAGATGATTTATTGTAGTATCCCCTCTAGTCGTACAACATTGTAATTCTCATAAACACCTGCTGGCAATGCTGATTTATTTAATTTTTGACCCTTTGAAGAAAATGCAAACCAAAATACATTTATTTATGTATATGTTTATACAAAATACATTTATGATCATTTATGAAATGTTATGATTCAGCTCTCCAGGCCATAATAAAAAACAAAACACACATTTTAATGGAACATGCATACAGAATATGTCTACTAGTGAAAATATTATATATACTTACTATATTAACAAAAATTGCTGGCAACCAGGCGCTCATCAGACATTTTTGTGCAAACTAGCATGATCTGGATGTGATGCAAACCAAACGTAGAAAAATATGAAAGAGGGAAAAAACTGAAACACAGAGCTTCATCAGTCTACATCTGGTTTTAATACTTTGGGGGCCCAGTGCAACACAAGGTTGGGAGGGCCCCCTTAGATACAGCCCTAGATTAACATGCCGATGGATTCTTGCAAAATGAGAGGGAGGAAGAAAAGGAAGATACAGTTTGCTTGAGAGGAAATGGCCTTGGCACTGATAAAATTATCTGAGAATAGAATAGCCTCACTCTCCATGCAGTAAAATCTTGCTTAGGATGACCCTGTCAGCCTGGAATACATATTGGCTAATGTGAAGTTGCATTAGCCAATTAACAGAGTGGCTCACTTGAAAATGGCATCAGCTGAATTTACCCACTGGGTAAGAGGGAGATGCATTAGTCTATAGGTGGATTTGCTGATTTGAATACCCCATAGGAGAAAATAAATGGAGGTTTATCTGCCCTTAGATGCTCTCTTGCAGCCCATTTTTGCCTCCATCCTATTTAAACCCCCACCCCTTTTCTGGGGCGCAATGCAGCTTCATACACTGTGACCCTGTAAAACTGGCCCTGTACCCATCTTTAATGTTACTAACAATTTTCTTAGATAAAATTCATAATGAACACTTGACAGGATATTGCCCATGAATCAGCTGTTCAAGTGCCTGTACAGAACATCCACAATAACTAGCAAAATGTATAGTGATGTCTGAAAAATGTATTCCTTCCTTCCCCTTTAGTGCACTTCATTTTTTTAATGTCTAAAAATCTCATTTACTCAATGGGAGTAGCTTCATTAAAAAATAAACCCGTTATTAGGTTAACATATCTTACTGGCAGACAGAGGCGGTATTCAAAAATAGTTTTTTTGAGAAAATATTTTAATTATTTTAAATGGTATACCTTCAAAGCCATGTATAAGGAAAAGCACCATGGGATAACACCCACGTGTCTAAATGCCTGCAGAGAAAGGGATCGGTGCACATCAGTAAAAAGGAAGTTCCACGGTATTGAGGCTACAACTGAGGGCATATCTGCACTTACAGTTCAAGCTGCTCCTGTCCTGTGCTCATTCTGGCTTGACTCTAAACCAGCTTCAGAAAACCCTGTTCACACTGAGACCTTTTGGCAACATTTGGCATAGTACTCAGGCCAGCTGCAGGCTATCACATTCTCCTGTTGGACAATTCCCCGCTTCCTCTTTCAGGAAATGATTGGTAATTCCTGTGGGTGGACCTTACCAGAATATATACTTTTATATGTGTATGTACACACACACACACACAAAGTTAAAATGAATTTAAATAAGCCCAATAGTGCATCATTTCTTTGTTTTTCCAGTCACTTGATGTAGAAAGGTTTCACCTATGGCACTGTTGTCCAAACTTGGCCACTTTAAGATGAGTGGACTTCAACTCCCAGAATTCCCT